GGAAGGGAGCCGGCCGGCCGCCGCTCGGGGTCGGGCTCGGGCTCGCCCGTGCCCGGCGCAGGCTCGGCCCTTCCCCCGGGAGCGCCCGCCCGCTCGCCGCACCGCGAGCCTCCCGCTTGTTTGCGTCCGGCGCCCGTTCCCGTGGCAACCGGAGCCGCCGGCGGAGGGCAGGCCGCGCCTCGGGGCACGAGCGGCCCCGCCTGGGCGCCCAGGGGGCGGGGAAGCGGGAGCGGCGGGAAGCGCAGGCCGGGAAGAGCCCGGGAGGCAGGCGGCTGCAGGCCCCGGCCTCTCGCGCCCCAGGGTCTGTGGGCAGTTGCATGCGGCCCAGAGCGCTGGCTGTTGGGGTGGCACAGAAATTAAATGATAATGCTATAATTTATTTTGTTCATTTTTCGATTTATATCCTGCCTTTTTCCTACAAAGGGCTCGAGGCAGCTTACATCATTCTCCTCCTCCACCTTATCCCCACAACAACAACCCTGTGAGGTAGGTTGGGCTGAGAGTTTGTGACTGGCCCAGAGTCACCCAGTGGGCTCCATGGCCGAGCGGGGACTCGAACCCGGATCCTCTGAGTCCCAGTCCCAGGTTCTTAACCACTACACCACACTGGCTCTCAGGGTCCACCCACCAGAACAAGGTCCAAAAGGGCAGCCTCCTGCGCCCCCTCCCTTCCCATCGCCAACAGGCCCGAATTCAGAGCAATCCAAGCTACTGGTAAGAAAAATATGTGAAAGGAACAGGAGGGCTACCCAGGATTGGGTCTGCAGGGCCCACACTGCCTGCACCTCAGGAGAAGTCCCACAATTCCAAGAAGGATTTCAGACCAAGGGGGCACAGCATCGTGTCTGTTTCCACTCGAACTAGCTTGACAAAATGCATAGTGTTTTAAACTCAAGGTTTATTCAGACTGACTTTGTTCTATGACAATACAAAATTCAGCATCAACGATCACTCCCGCACACCCCAGGGACCCGAGAGCAGATGTCTGCAACCCATCTATGAAAAGGGAAAATGCAGCACCGGGATCAGGGCAACGATTTACCGGCGTGCTCTCCAACAAGCGAGCAGGAAAGAAAGCGAGGGGATCATTTGCCGGATTCCAAAATCGAGGGACAAGCCGTCCTTTTGGCCTTCTGTTTGCCCCAGTGTGAAGGACACAAGAGGACCCTCCAGCCGAACGGACCAGCAGAGTTTCACACGGTAACTGCACACAAGCGCCGGGAACGTCTCTGGCAGCAGACACCAAATGCTCCCGCTTCTTCGGGTGGCTGTTCCAGCCGGAAGCCCGGGCCCGCTCCCTTGGGAGTCATCTCTGCAAAGGGAGGATATTGCAGCTGGGGGGGGGGGGAGACGAGGGGGAGAAGACGGTGAGGCCCGCTGCAATTCTATTTCATGCTACTTTTCGTTCCCCACAAAAGTTAATGGCAATTCACACCAGCACAAAAGGCACAGAGGCTGAAGTCCAAGGAAGGGTGTGAACTGCAGCCCAATACTGGAATAAAATTAATTGCGCTTTTTTTTTAGGCTTTCTCTGCTTTGTAAACTATTGCAAATAATTGTACACTGTTCCACTGAGCTGTTACTGCTTGAAATGGCGTATTTTAAAGAAATTTGCATTGTTATTGTAATTAAAATGTTTGTTATTTGTGTTCTAAAACAGGGTGTTGAAAAATGATTTTCAATATTTACTTGTGAACCATTTAGAGATTCCCTGTATTAAGTGGCACATAAGTATTGTACATAAACCAAACATTTTGAAAGCAGCAGCCTGGGGAAGATGGCCTCTCCAGGAACTCCAGTGCACCAGACAAAATTCCTGATACACTGACACAGCACACCCCAGCAGAGAAACCCCATCACACGTGTCGGAAGGAGGTAGACACTCCAAGCAGGGTTAGAGACAGGATTCAGAACCTGGGGAGAGGCGCTATTCTGGGCTTTTTCACCCAAAGCAGCAGAGCAAAGCTGTACATTTTGGCACTAGATTAGACTGTCTTACCCCAGGAGCCCTTTTCCACTCCAACGTTTCGGCGTAAGGCCAAGGTGCAGTTTCTCCCCTCTGCGTATCACAGTCACACTCAAAGGTTTCTGGGGCAAAATAAAATAGAAATCACGGGTCACACACGGGCTCCTTGGCGGCCTGATCCACGGAGAGGGTTGAGAATGGGCTCTTGTGTTACGAGTTACTGTTACATGAGAACCCTGCACGATGGGTTAACTACGTTTTGTTGGTGGACTGTGAACTGTGGTCATTTGCTTCACCGAGCCAGGTCGATTAGCTCCAACTCTTGCAAAGCAATAAAAATGCTTCAGCTACTGGAGAAAAGCAGGTGCACCCCCGTATTTGCAGCTTAAGGGGCAACAAAATAAGGGGAAATGGAAGCCCTGGAGCTCGCTAGCACAGGAACAGCCAGCTGGCCACCAGCCACGAGGAAAGCTTGTCCATTCACGCTCGCCTGCCACAGTGGCTGTGGCTGGTAACCAAGCACCCATTTCCCAGAAAGCAAAGTGAACCTTGCCCGAGAGGTACTAGGCTGAGCTCAAAACACACAGCCGCTCCGACCATGTTTAAATGGGGAAACCTGGAGAAACGGAACGGCCTAAAATAGAATCAGTGCCGTGGGGGAGCCGGCGGGTGGCCAGAGGGAGCCGGCGGGTGCCCTGCCGGAGGTGGCACCGTCTGGGCTTGGTCCAGACCCTGCGGCGAGGCTGCGGCTCACCCCTTCGCTGTGCTGCACCACGGCGGCGATGTTCTGCAGCGACTGGAAGTTGCGGGCATTCACGGAGCCGAACTCTGCGATCTCGTCGTCCACTTGCAGCCCCTTGGAAGAGAAGCACACGCTGAGCACGGCCGGCCCCCGGGAAGCCCCTCGGCAGCTGCCCTCTGGACACCGTGCGCCTGTGGGGCAAGGCGCGGAGAGCCAGGTCGGCTCTCAGGGCGGGGCGAGGGCCAGTACTTGCCGAGAAGCTCGCTGGGGAGCCTGGAGTGACAGCGTTCACCCGGGCAAAAGGCTGCGGGAGGGCCTGCCTCTGGCTCCTGGCTTCGGCCTGGGCTTCCGCCTCGTCCTTCTCCCGCTTCTCCTTCTCCCGGGCGTGCAGCTGGTGCAGAGCCTGTTCCACCTGGTGCATCAGTGCCTTGTGGTCGTTCTGCAAACCTGGAGCGGGGGAAAGAGCATCCACTGGCAGAGATGAGAGTTGGCAGGAGGGAGGTTGGGATCTTCCAGTCGACACTTGGGTGATTTCTAGGAATTTGGCAAGGATTTCTGAACCTTGATCAATGACTTGACAACACAAGAATAGCAAGGAGTTAGAAAAATCAAGCATGGTTATATTTTACAAGGCTGACATGCCAGAATAATCCAAGGGGTTCTGTCAGAAAAATGGGCTTGCCATGCCAGACAGGTCCAAAATCTCAACAAACAAGGTCAGTTCATAAAAATTTGCTATACTTTGTGTGAACAAGAGAGACATGGGTACCCTTAGATGCCCAGCTTCCCAGAGATCATTTCAGAAGGATGGAATACATGCAGAAACCTCACTGAAAGAAAAGGGGAGACGCCTTCCAGCACGTGCCCTGCATTCGGGGGCTCCGGGCACGGACTTCCAAGCAACCGTGCATGCCGTGCTGGAAACCCACAGAAGGAAGGGCAGACGCTTACAGATAATGTTGTGTCTTGCTGTCCGGACTTGATAGATGTCAACATCTCCACGCGGATACCCTTCAACATCCACGAGCGGCTCATGCATCCCAACCCCTTTTTGCTGCAAGATATAATGAAAATAAATTGAGAGCTTTTTAAAGAGGCCGGATAAGCTGGCAGCTTATTACATAACATTTATTATATTTACATTTCATTTTATCACACAATAGCAGATTATTATTGTATTTACATTGCTTCTGGAGCAGCTTACACAGTCCTTTTCCTTTCCATCTTCTCCTTACCACAACCCTGAGAGGCAGGGCTGTCCGGCTGAGGGTCAGCGACTGGCCCAGCGCCTGCCAGTGAGGCTCATGGCTGAGCAAGGGACAAGGACCTGGACCTCCCCAGCTGCCTTCCAGCACGCTTCGCACACTGCTCTCTCTAGCTGGATTTGGAGGATTGCCCCGGCAGTGTACTTAAATCTCACAGGATTGCAGCACATGCCTGCCTTCAAGTAAGCTAAAATGTATCATCTCGATGTACTGTCTAAACATCTGAGAAATGTTTTCAATATCAAAAACAATAGGACTAAAGCACCTGCTATCTGGCAAGTGGAAGGTGGGAATCAATACAGCTCACAGTGCGCTTCAAACATTACCTTTAAAGCAACTGAAAGCTTCACTTTCAAAAAGGCACAAACCTTTACTCCTCATTGACAGCTAAGCTCCAAGTTGTTGTTGTGAGCGGCCTTCAACAAATCACGTTAATCTTATGCGGCAACCACCCGTGTAAGACTCCTGCAGAAGCGCTGGCAGGATGTGCCTGCCTGGAGGCTGCCCTACTAACCTTGGCACTCCAGGCTGCAGGAAAACCCTTGCAAACTGCTCACATTCCAGGGAGCTGGAGGGGAAGAGCAGGCAGGCAGCGAGCAGAGCTACGTACTGGCCTTCTGCAGTGACTCTGCACACACACTCAAAAGCCTTTTGAAGAGCACATGCATTCGCTTTCAGGGAAACTCTAGTCGGATCGGTCAAGCAAAGGACAAGGGCAGTTTAAAAGTAACCCGGGCATGGAACGCATGTGTGCACACTGCCATCCCCACACAGGGCGGCCCGTCTGATTTTGTCCCTTCACGGGGCAGTGCTGTGAACAAGCAGCTCCTCCAGGTTCAGCCACGCCGATTAAAGCCAGTCTCAGCTGATGCAAACCAAAGCTGGGCAACCTGACAGAAGCAGCCCTGCCTGCAATCTTGCACACACTGCTCAGGACGCGCCTGGCGCTGAATGCAGCAGGCCACACTTCCAAAACACACCCAGGATCAGACTGCATGGCTACCGCCCTTCCCACTGAGCTGACACTACAGCCCAGCAGGGAGTTTATTTTGGATCAAGCAAGGATATGCTTGCATTGCGTGCCTGTATAGGATCACGTCCAATTAAGTAACTCAGTAAGATTGGGGGCCATCGCTACATCCCGATGGAAGCGAATGCCATCACCGTCGCACGCCGCGTGAAGGCGGCCGTCCTTTAGCTGTGCTGACGCCCCGCACCCATGGGCTTCAGGGGAGGACCCCTTCGGCGTCTGGATGTAAGAGCAGGGGGGAAACCGGCTCCTTGCGCACTTCCAACACAGCGGGCGTGCTTTGCTGCCCCGGGTCACAGCACTCCTCCCTCGCCTGTTGGAAGCGTCCCGTGCCATCAGCCTTCCTCGTAGGGACGTTGCCCCAGCTCCAGGTTCGTCTTCGGGCAGCCCCCCTGGCCGGTTCAGACAGGCGACAGCTGCCCCAGTCGCGGAGGGCGGCGGGGCGCCCCTTCTGAAGGGCCCCGGAACGCATCGCGGGCCGAGCCGGGGCCGTTCCCCTGCCGCCCCGCCCTTGCGTGGGACGCTCCACCGCCCGCGGCCGGGCCCCCCGCGCCCCGCGGGCACTCACGTCCTCCAGGACCTCGTAGTAGGCCTTGATCTGCGCTTCGATGTCGTCCTTCCTCTTCAGCAGCTGCTGCACGTCGCTGACCGTCACCGCCTTCGCGCCCGGGTCCGGCACGGCCATCTCCGCGCAGAGCAGCGACGCGTGTCGAGGAAGCCGCCCTTTACACGCACAACGCGCTCGCGACGAGGCGCGAGCGGAGCCAAAACAGCCCCGCCCCGGCGAGCTCCGCCCCCGGACCTCGTGACGAGGAGGCGGGGCGCGGCCGGGGATTGGTGGCGGCCTGGCCTATGAGAGGGGAGGGGCGGGGCCCGGAGACTCCCGGCTTCCTATTGGAAGGCGCTTCTGGCGAAGGCGTCGTGGGTTTTTCCTAGTGAGGATCAGGTCTACACGTGCTACTGTTCACGTGAAGATCGCAAAGTCGGGCAAACGGAGTTGGTGGGAGCTGTGAGCCACGTCGGATAAAACGAGGCTTTTTTTCTGAGTCTGCAAGCCTAGGATGGCGCAGCTGGCGCTGTTACCTGCTTTCTTCCCAAGCCGGTACATTCCAGATGTGCTGGACTACAACTCCTGCCGTCTCCCAACTGGCTGGAAGATGGTGGGGGTTGTAGTCCAGCACATCTGGAATGCACCATGTTGAGGAACACTGAGTTAAGCCTATGAAAAGGGGGGCGCAGAGGAAAAGGAAAGATTGGCCCATCCGCCCAGTTGCTTGCTGTATCCCACAGAGTGGCTGGGGATGCGTCCGTTTTTGCAAGGCTCTGGAATCCGCTTCCACTTCTAAACATGCACATTTGAAGATCCTGCCCTCCCCTGCCGCTTCCTCCGCTCACTGAGCCACACAAACCGCTTGGCTACCTCCAGTGGCGCCGAGGCCACGGTCCGGCCCTGGAAGGGCCAACATCATTTGCAACTGCCAGGCCAGCTGCTCCTCTGCGTGGCACGTTGTCTCTTCCCTCTGGCAGCAAAGAGATACTGGGCTGTCCTGTTGCTCATGCTTCCACTCCACCAGCTGCAGCCCACCCTTTCTCCTGCATGAGGCCACAATGCGTAGAAGCCTCACCTCTCGGGTTAAGCTGCCAAATAGGTCCATCTGGGAAAGGGGGAGGAGATCGGGCAGTTTCCTCCCCTCCTTTGCTATATGAATAGTTTTCAGCACTGTCCCTGCCTTTCTGCCTGTCTCTTTGGTGCACTCTCCTTTGCTCCCGTACACAGCAAAAATGGTAAGGCTTGCAAATCTGTTACCAATTTATTTAACACAAGGCAAGGAAAATCTATTGTTCTTCCATCTTACAGAATAAACTAGGGCTATTTTTCCCAGTAGAAAAATTGGAAATACATATTTGTTTAGAAGTTTGGAAAACAGGCTCAATTTTGGGCTGTCTTACAAGCATCCTAAATCAGTGTATGAACTGCTTTCCTCAGATATCAAATCGTTGTGACGAATAAGCTGGTACATTGTTAATTCTTAATGTTACAGTGAACATACATTCAAGTATGTATTTACTGCCTATTCCTGCTATTGGTCATGATCTTGAAGTACACTTAATGCTTTCTTATTTTGCAAATACTATTTGTTTGGTTTTCCTTCTGGAGCAAATATGAAAAGAAATAATGACTCTTTTATTCTGTTTGATCTCTGTTCACTAGACAAGTTACACAGATAAAGGGCAGAAGGTAAGATGAGTTCCACCATATGCCATTATATACTTTCTTCCCAGTCCACGGTGGGTGAGGAATCCTCTTGCCCCCTGCTGAACGGCATTATACCACTTTTTCTCCCTACTGGATGTTCCTGGTGAGGAAAAAGACAGAAGAGGCAGGCTGGAAACATGAGAGGGTTACAAGAAGAAGACGGCCGTGTCTGGGCTCCCCATCAAGTGGGAGGAACAGGGCAGGGCATGAATAAAACCTCACCTGTTTGGGACCCTCCCCAGTAGTTCTCCCCACGACCTCCTTCATCTTTTTTCCTGCATGAAAGAAATCCATTAAGGGGGAAAACCCAGAATAGCTGCTGTGCATCCCCTGAGTCAGAGCCCTCCATTCTGAAGCAGTCTGTTCAACTATAATTAATGAGACAAGCGCATTTCTTAATTGAAGGGAATTGTCCTGGGGCTGGGGCCTTTTCACACATTACTCCAGCAAACCCGGGTCAGCTACTAAGTATAGATGTAGCTGGGAGCAGCAGCCAATCCTGGCCATCTCCGAAGAGTGGGATACAGGAGTTTTTGTGCTCTGTGTGCCTAAAACTGACATTGTAACGTGTGAAGAGGGCCGGAATGTTGTGTGCATTCTGCGGTTTCATATTTGAGCAAAGGTGTGTTTTAAGAAAGAAAAGCCCCTGAGGTTTGTGTGTGGGTATGAGAAACATGACGAAGCCACAAGCCTGCCAAAACTGAGTACTTTTTAGAGAAGCAAAAAAGGCAGGTGTGTCTCAGCCAGCTAGGTTGGGAACTGGAGGCCTTTTTCTGGCGAACCTTGCACCCCAATTAACTTTGACTTGAATGGGATGTTACGGGGCATAGTAGCTCTGGCTGGATCATATTCTGCAGCTGCAGCTGCAATTGTAAAAATACTGGACTGCATTATTTTACTTCATATGAACCCAGCTATGATGCCAAGCCAAGCCAAGCCGGTGAAGGGGCCACCACTAAATCCAGTGGGTTGCATTCCCCGAATAAACCTCATTTTGTTTGACATCAAAGAGACAGGCATGTCATGAGCGGAGTCGGCTGGAGCCGGGGGTCAGACTAGATGGCCTGGGAGACCCCTTCTGACTCGCTCTGTTTCTATGTTTCTATATCATAGGCTGTAGGAAAGGAGTAAAACACGCCCCTCGCTTTTAACATTGCTCGGGGAGATAACAAAAATCACTCATTGTCAACCAAACTATTTGCGCCTCATCCCCTATACAGAGTTAAGTAAATATTTTCCAGGAGAATTAATATTTAACAAAGCAAGGTTATCAAATTGGTGAGTGCAAGTATTGGTGAATGGTGGGAGGATCTTTTCAAAAGTGAAAGAATCATGTTATTCACCCATGACCCAAAGGCAGATGCATTCTTTCAAGGGGATTTTATCCAGCTGGTTATCAATCGATAATTTTGCAAAACACAAATGCTTCTTCCTATTCAAGTTGATCTGGATATCAAAAGAAGGCCAATTCCTCCTTCCCTTTGAATTGGAAATGGAGGTGTTTATTTACAGTAGAAGGCCTGTTATTTAACCGAGACCTGAGAGATGGATAACTCGTCCAAATTGCATCTGAACGTGGGTTTTGTTCACTGGCTGGGCATCCTGGGAGTTGTGGCCTTTTTCTCTGCCCAAGCAGCCATAAAGTTGAGCACCAAAAGTGCAAGGGAAGCTGTTATTCAGTCCTGTAAGAACATAAAGATCACAGGCAGGGAGAGATTATTCATGCAGGAGAACCTTCCCTCAAGGACCATGAAGCTCAGGTGGGTGGACTGAACTTCCGCTTCCAAGTTCGATCAGGGGCTATAAATGTTTGCGTTTGCTGACCCAGCTCAGAACCCTTCGCTTGCTTCATTCCTTTGCTCATCAGTGCGTCACTCCGTCCGATTCCTTGAGCAACCAAAGTTGGCAGTTGACCTCGTTCTAAGCACCCCCGGGACACTCCCCATGGGAGCGGTGCTGGAAGAGTCCAGAAACGGTGCCAAGTTCTCAGTGAAACACGAGGGCCCATGAAACGCGAGGTCCCAGCTGTTAGGGAGCAGCGGCGAGGGGCCCGCATGGCTCTGGGGTGGCGGGGGCGGGGGGAGAAGGAGGGCGCCCCTCCTGGCCTTCCTTCGAACTGTGGCGTGGACGGGCCACGGCTCAGTGGCAGCAGCTGCATGGCCCGCAGACGCTGCGGGGCCCATCCGTGGCCGCTGACCCACGGCTCCCGGGGAGGAAGGCCTGAGTATCCAAACAGACACTACTGGCTTGAGCCACGGACGGTCCAAGGTGGAATGAAGGTTGCTTCTTTCGGCGATGCTGGGCCAGAGCCGGAGAGACGTGGCGGGGCACCTCCCGGGGCCCGTGGGCCAGAGCCCCTGGATGTACTCCTCTGCCTCCGAGCCTCCTGCCCCAGCCCAGACAGGGATGGTGGCGACGCTGCGGTTGCTGCACCCCCTTGCTTTCCTGCCCCGCGCAAGGAAGGCGATGAGAGCACTGGGGCGGCAGAGGGCTCACGGAGGAGGGTGAGGCCCACGGAGGGCATCTTGCCTGCGGAGACAAATGCCCCATCTGCCCAGGGCTGGGGTGCTCTGTGCCTGAGTGTGTGACGCAGTAACGGTGTGCCTTTCGTCCCTTCAGCCTGACAGGGGCCGCTTCCTCCACTTCCACTCGTTGACGTTCTGGGTGGGCAACGCGAAGCAGGTAAGCGCCCCGGTCGGCCCCCGAGGCCCTCGGGTCACCCGCTGGCTCCGAGGCGCGGAGGGTGTGTGGGCCAGGCAGCGTTGCTACTGGGTGCTGCGAGGGGAGGAGGTGTGGGGGAACTCCAGGGCAAGCTGAGCTCGGTTAGGGGCTGCTGCGGCGGCCTTTGGACCAGGCTGATGCAACCCGGCTGCCTGCATGGATGTTTGCTGGAGGCTGATTGGAGCACAGGGCGAGAGAGAACGAGCCCGCGAGAGAGAGCGAGCGAGCGAGTGCCCCATCCCTCGGCAACAGTTTCTGACCCACCGAAAGCCTTTGTCCGACGCTGGGTGGGCCGCACATGACCTCCACTGTGTGGGTCCCAGTGTGGCCACACGGCCCGATTCCCCATGATTCTGTGGGAGAGAAGTTGGGGGGCGCACGCCTGGGACGCAGCCCCACAGCAACCTCCAGCTCTTTCGAGAGGGGGTACAGCCCCTCCTTCAGCGCTGTGCTCCCCGAGCCACTAGCAACCAGCGAGCGTCGCCTCCGAGGCCGAGGCCCGGCCCGTTTGCCCAGGATTAGACGGGGCAGCCGGATGGCGCCTCTTCTTATCAGCTGTTACTTTCCATGTGTGAGACCCGGCGGGGAATCGGAGGCGTGCGACCCTCCAGCCCCCCGTTCGAGGGAGAGGAGCTGCCCCTTGGGGCCTCCCAGATGTTCTCCTGGGGCTCACTGGAGCGGCACCAGAACACCTACCGTGGAGCACCAGGGTGGAGAAAGCCGGGACGGAGGGATGCCTGCGTTTCCCCTCTCGTCTTGAAAGAACAGCCTGGCCTGCAGGAGCAAGCAGGACGCAGCTTTTCCCCTGGCTGCATATCAGCCTGGCTGGGAAAAGCTTTGCTGGCTCATGTCTGCCGATCGGGGCCGCTATTGAGGGCGTAGGAGCAGGGCCACCCGAAATGTTGGCAATGCTAAGAAATTTGGCAACCCACCCAAGTGTGTGTGAGTCTCAGAGAAATAGTGTGGTGCGGCTGGAGAGGGAAACGGCAGCGGGGAACTCTAAAGCTGTTAGACAGGGAAAATCCATTTCTAAAAGCAGGATGTTCGTGGAGAAAACAGGACAAAACGGAACTCCGGCAAAGGAAGGGTTGTGGAAGTCGGGTAGGGAAGGGAGCTAGAGTACTTGGAAAGCCACCGCGCTTCTGTTTGTATGTTTTTAAGGCTGCCTCGTTTTATTGCAACAAAATGGGGTTTGAAGAATACGCCTACAGAGGTTTGGAAACGGGAAGCCGAGAAGTGGCGTCACATGTGGTGAAGCAGGACAAAGTAAGATGGGGACAAAACGACTGCAACTGACGCGGCACCGTCCCCGTCCGACGGTGCGGCCGCTGCGGTTTGCGTCCGGTGCAGCGTGGCTCCTGGCCTTGCGGATTCGCTGTGTCGGTGTGGGCTGGAAGAACCCCCCAGGCAGGGAAGGGGAATTTGGGGTGCTGTAGCCCGAAAGAGGAGAACATGGGACCATGGAGGCGAGGCCACCCTCTCGAGAAGAGGCTACTGCCTTGCGCACTGGCCTTTCTCACTGAGCCCTCGCCCTGATCGGCTTGTAGATTTGCAAATAGATTTTACTAATTTATCTATTGGCCCTTGCAAAGCATCCCAGGTGGCTTCCAGGGCCCCCCCCCTCTCAATTTCACCTTCACAACAGACCTGCGAGGTAGTGTAGACTGAGAATCCGTGACCTGCTGATGCCCGGCTTCTGCAGGTCCATCTTCTGACGGGTGACCCAGGCCAGAAGGCTACTGCAGCCGCTTCAGTGGTGGCCAAGCAGAGGCTGTTGCCGACAACAGATGGGCTGGCCCAGCTGGCAGGGAGACCCTCTCCAAAATGGGGTGGACTGCCACAAAGGAGACAGGCTGGGGGGGGGGGCAGAGGACTGGTTGTGAGTGCACTTCTCTGTGTTTGGCGTTGATGTGGCATCGGAGCAAGCGAGGGGGTGTACCCAGAACGGGCGAGTTTAGTAGCACTCCACAGAATAAGAGGAGGATAGGTCCCTGCCCCAATGGGCTTACAGTATGGGGACCGTAGGAGGCAGAGATGCCAGGGGAAGGCATCGCTGTTCTTCCCCATCAATAGCTTTTTAGAAAACCACGAAAAATAAGCTCCTGCCACCCCAGTTCAGCTTTTAGAGGGGCTTGGGGGACACCGCTGAGTCGGGTTTCACTGTTTTTATTTGTACGGTAAAGCCAGGCCTTTTGACACTCCAGAGATAGGCTATAACATCACCAACAATGTCCATGTTCTGGGCCTTTGCTTCTAGAGTTAGTTAACCTTGCTTTAATTAGCAAGGTTCATCAGTTAACCTTGTTTGAGTGGTGCTCCTCCTCCTCATTCTTCTTTCCAGATTATATTTGTCTTCTCCTCAGCTCTGAACCCTGGGAATCAAGGTAAATTCAGTCTGCTCTGGGCTGACCATTCCGTAACTTAGATGCATATGGTGAAAGTCCTCTGAATTTTGCAAGCTCTGCAGGGCGCACGCAGGAGGGGCCACGCTCAGTCTGCCCGGGTGGAACGCAGTTTATTTTCCCACACGGCCTTTCTGGCATCCTGGCCCACGTGGCTCTTCTTCATTTAGGGGCACCTGGTTTTGCAAGGCCAGGCTGAGCCGGTCTCCTGAGAGCAGGAGTCTGTCTGTCTTGGGAATGAGATCACCCTTAGAACCCGGGGCAGATACTGCTGCTCTGAGAGGAGGCGAGCGCAGCCGAGGCGTGTCTGGGTGTGTGCGCACACGTCCCGGTGCGTCTGACGGAGCAGCCCTCGTGCAGAGTGCCAAAGGATCCTCCTGCACATGCTTTGTCCTGGGGTACATGCAGCTCCCTGTAAACCCAGGCCTGCGGCAAGGGAAGTTTGCCAAGGGGAAAGGGGGACAGTGGGGACCGTTCCTGAACACAGAGCGCGTGAAGTTTCCCATCTGAGCTATGCTGCCTCACTCCCTCTGTTGTGCCTAAGAGCCGCTGATGAATCGCACCTCCGTGAACCGGCCTTCAGTTTTTGCTCCGTTTTCACTATGCAGAAATGGGGGAGCACCTGGTACACCATGGTGACGGGGTCAAAGACATCGCCTTTGAAGTGGAGGACTGCGATTCCATCGTGCAGGTAAAACCGCAGCTGAAGAGCACTCCTGTGTAACTCCGGAGCTTGCTCTCCTGCGCTCATGCTTTGTCCAGCAAAGAGTGCACCCGTTCTTTCTTCTTTCCTTCCTTGCTCAGAAAGCCAGAGAGCGTGGAGCCAAAGTGGTGAAGGAGCCCTGGATAGAGGAAGACAAATACGGGAAGGTGAAGTTTGCAGTTGTTCAAACGGTAAGAGGCCGTCTTCTGACCTCAAAAACAGAAACAGCAGGAAGGATTGAAAAGACAGCTGCAGAAGTCGGGCAAAACAAAACAGGCAGCTGCAAGATTTAATTCCCAATATAGTTCTCTTATGGTGTACCTGGAGAGATGGCTCTTCACTCTTCCTTTATTTGCTTCCTGAAGGGCACCGCAAAACACTGCCTCCCCCCATCCCTGCCCCTTCCCAAATTTGAGTAAAAACTCTCTGGTGCAGCACAAGCTTTCTTTCCCAGGTTGCCAGACACTTGGCATCATGGGAAATGGCGGTAGCACCGATTCCTCCCGGTGGGCAGCTGTCCAAAGTGTGTGTACAACTTTTAGAAGCACAAACCTGGATTTGCAGTTCCACACCAGCTTCCACATCCCGGTTTCGTGGGATGAAGCCGGGGACCTTCCCCGTGCTGGATCTAAAGCCAGTGGGAGCCGTTAGCAAAGCAAAGCCATATTGAAACATCATGGTTTCTTCTTTGTTTCCCGCCACCTACACCCGGCCCAGTATGGAGACACCACCCACACACTCATAGAGAAGATGGACTACAAAGGACTGTTCCTTCCTGGGTTTGAGCCACCCCTCTTCAGGGACCCAGCCCTGAAACATCTGTGAGTACCTGACTTGACTCGGTTCATTCTCTGTATGTCCAAGATGTTGGCCAGGGGGACCATTGTGTGTGTATTTATTTATGTATTTATAGGCCTCCTATAATGGCTACATGTATTTATAGGCCTCCTAAAATGGCTGAGGCCTTCCTAGGCAGCGTACAATACATTAAATGTATTAAACCATGATGAAATATTAAAAACCTATTAAATCAGTAACGTATTAAAACATCTATAATAACAATATAAAAAAGAGCCTCAGCATTCAGGGGCTAGGTGTCAGTTTTTTTCTAAAAAAGTATGACTTTGCCTGGCACCGAAAAGAAAATAAAGATGGTGCCAGGTGAATTTCCCTAGGGAGGGAGTCCCAAAGATGGGGATACAGGAGGGAGGTGCTTGCAGCTTCGGGGCAGAAGCGTAGCATGTCTTTAGAATAAGAAGAGACTTGGCAGGGTGCGGGAACCAGGACAAGGCCGCATGTCCCTGGTGGTCAGAGGATTCTGGCGAACTCTCGGGGAAGGAATGGGCCAACCGGGGCAGCAGGGAACGAACTAATGGAGGGGCTGGGATCCTGCGCAGCATGCGGTGGCCTCTTGCTGTCGGTCCCACTTGTAACATTCTAAGCTTAAAGGAGTTTAGACGTAGGGTCATTCCACAAACCACGCAGCCACGAACCCAGATTTGCCACAAACGCTGTACACGCAACAGGGAACCGGTTCTGGCTCTGTGAGAGGAGCTGCACATGGCAGTTCCAGAGGGGGAAAGTCTTGCTGCTTTTAATGGAATCCTCTGGTATCGCTCGGGACGTGGTTATATTTCTGTGTATGCACTATCGAGAGTTTTACGTGTAGGTTGAAAAAAGCCCCGGTCCTCATGTTCACAAAGCTTTTGGTCAAAGGGAGCTGATCTCCTGGGAATCCCAAAGGTACAGAGTCACCTTGGCCCAGAGGGATGCCTGATCTCACAGCCATTCTTTTCCCAGGCCGCCAGGAAAGCTGAATTTCATTGACCATGTCGTGGGGAACCAGCCTGACCAAGAGATGGTTCCTGTGGCCGAATGGTGAGCTCTGCCCAGAAACGGGCTGCTTCCCCTGCCACTGACTGCACTTGCAAGGACTCTGATGAAAATGTAGGCGCTTCCAACCTGGGGCTCCTCCGATTTGGGGTCCAGCTCCCATAATTCCTGGTCATGCCAGCTCGGGAGGGTGCAAGGTGAAAGCTCAACAAAGCTGGAGGGAAAGCTAGCCAGTTATTATTATTATTATTATAACATTTCTATGCCGCCCCTTGCCGAAGCCTCGGGGCGGCTTACAACACAATCAAATACATTGAAATACAATAGAACATAATATATTACCATTAAATACAAAAATACAAAAAATACATTGAGTTACAAACATAATAATATAAAATTAAAATTATCAGTATAAAATAAGTAAATAAATAATATAGGAGGAGAAAAGAGAAGGAAGAAGAAGTTGCCCTGGCCAGATCATATATTTTAACAATTAAAATGATGTTTAAATAAAAAGGTCTTTACCTGGCACCGAAAGTTCTAGGTTATCTGGTGCCGCTGTCCTTGTATATGAAGAGATCGAAAGGAATTGGAGGAGAGAGACTCTCTTACCCTGGGGTCTTTCTCTCCTGGGGCCCAGTGTGGACACCTGTCCCATCCCCACCCACCCTGGCTTGCCAGATCTCAGGAGAAGGCAGATCCGCTCCCACACCACCGCCGCTGTCCGCAGTTGGCTGGAGACTCTCCGGGGCAATGCTCCGGCTGTGCCCACAGCTTGACTTTGTCAAAGATAAAGTAGCCATCCTTTAAAGGCTATTTGCTGGGGGCTCTCCAGGTTTAGAGGCTGGAGTCTTTCCCAGCCCTCCACGGAGATGCCGTGGCCGCCTGCCTCTCATGGCCGCCTTGCAAAAAGAGCAGGTTGATCTGGAGTGCGGCCCTGCAGTGGCAGGTGAGCTCACCTTCGGCAGGGTGACGATTCCTGCTTTTTGTCGCTTTGATTTCCTGTTTGTGCACAGGTACCAGAGAAACCTCATGTTCCACCGGTTCTGGTCTGTGGATGATAAGCAACTGCACACGGCTTTCAGCGCTCTCCGGTCTATTGTTGTGGCCAATTATGAAGAGACCATTAAAATGCCCATTAATGAGCCTGCAATGGGGAAGAAGAAGTCTCAGATCCAGGTGAAAACCAGAGGGACCAATTCCAACAGGGGAAAAGGAGTCGGCTGCTAAGTGCTGGTGTCAGGGTCGAAGGGAAAAGGACCCCTTTCGCTCACCTTCTTTTGTCCACCATCCAAAGTCCCAGTCCAGCATTCCAGCCAGGACAGCACACCGTACCCGTTAGCCAAAACCGCCTTTCTTGTAATCCAGGCCCTGTGCTTGCTGCACCAACAAACACACTCATTCCCTCATCTGTGTGTCGGACCTTCAGCTGCTTGCACATGGCCGTCCTGTCACCTCTTCATAAACTTTGCTCTCGGCCAAACACAGTCGGCTTCTTCCACCTTTGCTCACAAGGCTCCTCTCCAGGTGCCATAACCACTTCATTGCCCTTTTCTGAGCAAGAGCTTAATAGCGAAACTTTTGTGGACAGATGCTATGAAAAAGCCTCAGCTCAGTGTTATTTTTTAAAAGCATCTCATCAAATGTTTGAAAACACCCGTGAGCACACCTTTTGTGAATATACGAAATAGTCTGCCTGACGCAAACTAGCGCATGCCCGCGCGAAGAGCGTGTGCAGATATGGCCAGAGCGGCAAGCGGACCAGCAGCACCGGACAGTTTTCCCGAGTGGAATCAGCCTGGTTTCCTTTTCTCCAGTATTTGAGGGTTGACAATGCATTAATCAATGGATTTGTTTGCCTGTTTAATTTAATCATACATACCTTTGTCACATTGTGTTTTCCTTTTTAAGGTAGCACGCTCGGTTTTAAATTTCAAACAGCTACAGGGAGGGGTTTGGGTGATGGCACCTAATCTAACCCGCTGGAGCTGTTCAGAGGGGTACTTTGCAGCAAAACCCAGTAAGACTGTGGTAGTAGAAGCCAAATTCCGTACTTCTGAATGTCTTGTGTGTGCATCTTTTCGCTTTGCAGGAGTATGTTGATTATTACGGAGGCGCTGGAGTCCAGCACATTGCTTTGAATACCTCAGACATCATTTCTTCGGTAACCATTCTCACATCTCTGTGTCCCCTAAATCTATGTCTGGCCTACCCACCTTCTGAAGCAGCCCATAGATGGTAAAATACCTAATTTGGTTGTTGCAGATCACAAACTTGAAAGGACGTGGCATGGAGTTCATGTCTGTTCCGTCTACCTACTACCAGAAACTTCGCGAGAGGCTGAAATCGGCCAAGATCAAAGTGAAGGAGAACATTGATATACTGGAGGTCAGTTGGCTGCCAGGGGTGTGATGTTTCTGTGGAAGGGACACTCTAGGACCGAGGAGAGCCGAGTTCAAATCCACTCTCTGCCCAGTGGGTGACCTTGTTATAATTAATGCCTCTAAGCCTAATGAATCTCACAGCTGGTACTAAGCAGGTACTAAAGCATGGAAAGAAAAGCAGCAAAGTACCTTGTGGAAGCTTCATCACATGTGTTGGTATATAAACAGAAAGGAGAAACATGTTTTGCATGAGCAGAAGGCCGTGAAGACGATTCACTTGTGATCGAAACTTCGCAGCTATTTTGTCAGCTGCCAGCTGCCAGCCTCTTTCTGTCTTGGCAAGAAACTGGGTCAGCAATGTTTGAAGAACATTCTGGAAAAGGAACCCACAAAACGTACCTGTCCAGATCAGTGTTTGCCAGCGGCTCTGCCTATTCATGCTTGCCTGTGTTAGCTGCTTATGACTGAAGCTGTCACAGAGGAGACAACTTTTCTTGTTTCTCCCAGCCTTGTTGCCTGAATGAGATTCTTTCTCACCAAACGATGCCAGCAGAAGCCTGGGAGACAGAAGAGATATGACTGGCTGGGAGGAGGGGATGTGGACAGAGGCAGTCGACTTTGGAACAGCCAACTTACTAAAACGTAGCCAAGTGCTTCTGGGCAACTTCCTTCACTGTCCTCTTGTTTTCTTTTTCTCCAAAGGACCTCAAAATCTTAGTTGATTTTGATGAGAAGGGGTACCTGCTCCAGATATTCACAAAGCCTGTCCAGGACAGACCAACGGTCTTCCTTGAGGTCATACAGCGCCACAACCACCAGGTTAGTTCAGCATCGGAGGCTAAATGGAACGAAAGGTGCTTTTGCAGGTGGCATGCAGAGGCGAACGTCAGCACCCGTGGGTGTGAGGAGGGGATGGTGGCTCTCGGCCCCCTCCAAGCAGCTCCCTCTCTGCACCGTCACTGGAGGGAGTTCACTGACCCGTGTAGCCGGTCCTTCGCACCACTCAGGGACCCCAGCGGGTATTTCTTCTTGTCCGCACAGCCAGACTCGGTGATCTGATGAACTCCGTAGAACTCCTGGCTCAGGACTGGGTTAATTGCTCGGAGCCGCTACACAGACTGCTGCTCTCTCCTTCCTTCTGCCGTATAGCCGCCTATACAGGTGGAGCCCACCTGCCTGGCTTTAGTTGCCTGCCTCTCTTCAGGTCTACAGATTTCAATTTGCTATTCTGGACTCTTGACTTTAGCCTGGTCTGAACTATGCCCTTCCCTCCAGCTGCTAGGACATGGCACCATGGCCAACTTTCCCAAAGCACAGAATGTTTAACAAGGCAATTCCACTTGTCTGGCCGAGAAGGCATTTTTAAACATTTGTGATGGTGCTCTGCTTGCGTGCGCATATGGTGGGTGCTGCCAATAGTTAGCAATTGTCCTTTGGGATGTCAGCTTTGGAGCAGAAAAGAAACCCTATACTCACATGGAGTGGTGGTGGAAAGGAATTGCTTCCGAACTCCAGGGACTGCCCAGCTACCTAAAAGAATGCTAATTATTCTCCTGTTTTCTCCTCGGGCTTTAGGGATTTGGTGCTGGAAACTTCAAATCTTTGTTTGAAGCTATTGAAACAGACCAGGATGCCCGGGGAAACCTCACCATCCTGACACCCAATGGAGAATCAGAGGCCATGTGATGCGGAGCAGCAAAGGGGACATAAATACGGAAAGTGTAATGGGCTTACAAAAGTGGGCAGAAGGACCTTTGCCCACCATCAAATGGTCTTTTCTTTTTGACTTGAATAAAGAGATTCAAAGCAAGGACGTTTCCTGAAGTGTTTTGGGGACATGGTGCTTTCAAGAGCACCATGGAGTACTATCCCACACACAAATAGGCTGTTCCTGATTCCAACATTTAACTAGGGAGAACTGTTGGGAAAGGACCCATACAGCTTTTTTATCGTATTAATAAGAACTGGCATTCTGGATCAGATTTTGGGCGCATCTACTTTGTTTTTTGCAACCACTGAAAAAACTAGTTGCACGTACTCCCCGGGAAGGGAAGAAGGGTGGGGTTGTGCTTCTCAAGAACTAGTAAACCAACACATAGGTCTTCTGTAAGAAAAGTCAGTATATTTATGGTTTGCTTTATAAAAGTTACTATAATACAATGGTACATAGTATTCAATTCACAAAAAATATGAACAAATATGTACAGCATGACACACCCACAACAAAAAAACACGTTCTTCAAAACAAGGAACATACTGATGACAGCGCCTAGGTGCACAGAACAGTCCAAAATTTATACAGTTTTAAACAAAAGGGAACAGAAATGTTTAAAAAAATCCTAAACCTCAGCAGAACTTTAATTCTGCCTTTTTGTTTAAAGGAACATAAAAATAGATGTCATTTATTGCAAACCATTTTCCTTCCCCCTTTTAAAGGAGGTCTTTATTTTTCACACTGCGAATTAAAAAACCAATTATCTTTGCAGAATTAATGAAACAGGAGCAAAAAGGACTAAATTTCCCCCCTCCTCGGCTTTTCTTGTTAAGAACTGCTTCTCGAATTGTGAGCATTGTTCCCCACCCCATTTCAGCAGCTCTAGTGAGAATGCAAAAGCTCCGATAGAGCACACAAGGCTCCGCATGAGTAGGGCTTCTGTGGCTGATGGGTATAACACCCTGCCCAGGTGGAGTTTCATGTGTGCACTGGAGCACCTTGGAGCTCTAGACTCTGACCAATGCATTTTTCTTTCCACTTCTACAAACACTACATTGGTAATTGAGAAGGAACAATATAAAATAGAAGAAAATTTATATTTGGAAAAAAAATCAAAGTTGCAGATTTGCTTAAATACATTTTAGGTTGTCATTAATAGACTATACACATTTTCTTGTCTGAAATAAATAGATTTTGCACGTTAAGGTATCAGAAAGGCAAATAAAAAAGCCTCAACTTGGCATTTTTTTTAAATCTTCAGCTTCTTAATGCTTCTAGTTTGATCTACGTATTTAACAAAAAAATTGTACAAAATTTACATTATACATAGCTTGACACAAGCTGTAAATGCTGCCAGCTCTTTCCCTCAGTGCACCCCACCGCAATCTTCCACTCTCAGTTGGAGGTATTGGGCTGGCCATCTTTTAAAAAACGAACTTCAAACTACAATAGTCATTTTTAACAAAATATTTACATGCTTTTGAAGTACAAACAAAACAGCCAAAAAACAAACAAAATCAACATGTTTCTACAAGAAACAGTGTTTTGAAGAGAAGAGTTGGAACGGTTGCTTATGTACAGATGATGTGTCCATTTTAAACTGCAAAATTTCATTTTTCCCTCTTTTTAAAAAACGTTTTATACAGAAATGCACTGAAATGATCCCTGAAAATAGGTCACAAATGACAAAACTGAAACAACTTTCCATCAGAGTTTTGAACTATTCTTCCCCCTGCTGTAGAAATAAACTTCTTAGACAATATAAATATGTGAAAGACAGGGACAGGCTCCCTGCCTTCCTCCTGAACTCCCAAGATTTTGCCTCGAACTAGACACTGGGGTGGGATGGAGAAGGATGATTGTATGAAACCAGGCAGGCTGGGATTTAACACAGATAGACGTTTGCTCAAAAATAACAGTCCACAGAATCAGTGGAAGCCAGGTTTCTTTGAAGAGGAAAAGGCTGGTGGGTGGGTGGACAAGGATTTGGCACTCCTGGGAATAGGAGGGAGGTGTGCGGGTGGAGACTTGGAAGGTCATGGTGTGCTCCTCGCCGGTTGGACTGCCATCCCTTCCCAAGAACACAACCAAGAAGCAGCAGGCCCTGTCTAGAGTGGAGGCAGAGGAGCCAAACATTCTCATCCAAGGGTCCTTCCCTTGCAACTCGGTGCTCCTCAAGGAACGGAAGCTAGTCAGCTCTGGAAGTGTCCAAAGGTACTTGGGTTTGACGTTCAGGATATGCTTGTGCGTATGAATAGAAACACTTCTGAAAACTTCCCTCCCCAAAGCGTGGCCAGGCGGTGCACTGACCCTCCAATCCTGCTGCCCCTTGAAGGAGCAACTCTACCACAACTTCTGAGCCAGGAAGTTGCTTCCTGTTCTGGCCCAGGTTATCTGGCAGAAATGAAGTGAGGGCCACACTGTCAATATTGCCATATTCCCCCAAGGAAATGTGTTTCCCAACTATTTGCCCAACTCTTCGGAATCAGATGAAGAGCAGACGATTCATACAGACCCTGTCCTTCCCAAGTCTCCATGTGAATTTCAGTGCTTATGCAACAGACGCTCCTTGTGGGCTCTGCTCATGCACGAAGCGGAAAGCACAGAAACATGTGTATAGGATGCTTACTGACAACAACCCTGTCACGAGAGAGATGTGGCTTTCTTAAAGATTGGAAGCCTAAAAAGCCAGCACCACACACATGCCAAAGAAGTTGCAAGAAAGCAGGAAGCTTACACAGAAGAGAGCGGGGAGGGGGAGGGATGCTGGTCTAAACCAACCAACTTCTCCCAGAGTCCGGCCTGCATCCTCCATACCCAACTGCTCGAGTTAATTCTGACAACCCAAACTGCAAGGGCAAAAGAACCTCCCTGTGAAAAACAGCAATAAGGCAGCTTGAGCTGGTCTTAAGTTCCTTCCTTCCTCTGGGCCTTTGGACATAAGAAGTGGAGAGGCCATCCACTAAGTCATTCCTAGAGAACTTGCTAGCCAGAAGGAAGCAGAAGACAAAGCCATCCAAACAACGGGTTGCAGCATTCCTGGGTCCTGGGATGGCGAGGAAGAAGAAGAGGGGATTCCCTGCCTGAGAAAATGTTTATGCACACTCCAGTTGCCTCAATTCTTTGCTAGCAAATCATGTCTCTGTACAGCAGATTTAAAGTATAGCAAATTCAACACAGGAACACAAAATCAACACGTACTGAACATGGGCAAATATTTTAAGATTTGCCTAGCTTAGCAGCCTTTGGACTAATTTCAAAGAGAACCCTTTAATAGATGGGTTTTGAGCAAGAATCTTCTTCAGGGAAACCATGGCAAATATGACACACCCTTTTCTTTGGTCAAATTGAAAATGTCAATACACAATGTTTGCTTAGGTGATCCCAATTAATTATCTATTGTTTGTTTGTTTGTGTTTGCTTAGGACAGGTGTTTGAAATCAATGATATGTTTAGATTAAAAAGCTGGTTTGCTGCTGAAAATCAGCATTAAAAGTATGGTGTGATAAGGCCATAGAGCAGCTGCTGCCTCCCCTACGGACGCCTCCGCATCGTCTTTTGCCCCACTGGCCAGTTCTGCAGTTGCAGCGAACAGAGTCAGTGACAATGACACTTTCATTCGGCTGTTCATTAGGGTGGCCAAAATAAGGGGGGAAACCCTAAAATAAGGGACATACGGTTAAAGAGTTGTGGAACGATTGGCGAGAACAACAAAGCAGGGGAAAGTGTCCTTTGGGCGAGGGTGCCAGCGAAGGGACAGAATTTGTCCTCGCTCGTGGCACATGTGGAGCCCAGCGGTGTTACCGCCTCCCTTCCCCCTGGCTGCCTGTACCGTGCTTTCCTGCGCAAGCCTCCCAGGAGCGAAGATGCCCAGTCGCGGAGACTCAGGCAGCACCCCCAGTGCCGTGTGACCAAGGTTCAGGCAGCATAAATAAATTCTGCATTTACCAGCAAGGCATCAAGCTCTGCTCCAAAAAAGAGAGGCCCACCCATGCTTGACACAGCGAACAGTTCCTCCCTCTTGGATCCCAAAAGGATCAGCAGCGTACTAATGACCACAAAGGGGGCTCCCTCAAGCCAGGTCCAAGTATTTCCGATCTCTCTTGAGAGAAGACGAATCTGTGCTTGACGCTCCCCCCACCCCGCCCTCCCTGCTCCCATTCCCACTGGAAAGCAAGCACCCCACATTCATTTGGCAGCTTTTGCTACACCCCGCTCCAACCAGCTTCCGTTTATCTCAAGACCTCTTCTTGTTCATTCTCTGCTTCACATTTTGAAAATGTTGAATATTTCCTGCTCTCCCCCGAGCCAAACAAAATTCATGAGGAAAAGGTAGCAGCATTTTATAGAAAGAGGAACGATTTTAAACAATAGGAAGGTACCGTACGTGGCCCAGGAGAGCCGTGCGATGGCGCAGCAGGCAGAGGGGGAAAGAGACAGTGTTGTGATGTACAGTGCCACTGAAAAAGTGGAACTGTTTGGTGGGGGAGTTCTGGATCTGAAGACCAAAAGCACCTGCAGCGTGCAAAGTCCTGGTGTGCGTGTCTGCAATTTGCATTTCTCCTGACAGAAGGAAAGAATGTGCCCAGCACGATTTTCTCCCCCCCTCGCACTTTCCTTTCCCCCCTCGATTTCTTTCCTCCAACTTTTTTTGGCAAAAGTGCGACACCCATGGTTACCACAGTCTGGACAGAGCCAATGCATGGCAAACAGCCTTGGGTTTAATTCAGGGTCCCTCTACAGTTCTCAGAGCCACACAAACAGGGGATCTTGACGTCCTCGATGGGGAATTTGTAGTCGTAAGTGATTTCCTCATTCACACTGATGTGCTGCTTTGAGTAAATGACAATCTTCTTTTGGGATTCCACTGTGATGACTTTAGCATAGCAATTGGGCTAGAGAGAGAGCATTCAAAGGGTTAATTCAGAGATACTGCCTGGGTTATTTAGCTTTTGTGAAGAGGAAGGCAGGCACATGATGTTCCCCCTACCCCCTTTAATATAGGAGTCATGCTGAGAAATCAAGCATGTGGCAACTTTCACCTAGGGAGCGTGATGGAACGCGAGAGGCCAAGCAGCACTTACATTGCAACTGTGATTAATAAACCTGGCAAAGTTCCCACACTTGGTTGCATCTATGATTGTGTCGTGGTCAACTCTGAACATGTAACTGCTCCCAATGCCTTCGTCCTCGTATCGCTTCTCTCGCATGTCAGCGATTACCTGCAGAACAAAGCCGGACGTCACCAGAGGTACTTTCTAAGTCCAGTCACATTAAAAAATGGACGTGACTATCAAACTTTGTGTTTATCCATTTAAAATAATCATTAAGATGTCCGATGGCTGAAAAAAGCAGCAAGATATCACTATTTGTAGAGTAAGGCAGCATTTTCACATGGAAAAGCAGGTCATGCCATCCCCTGAACCAGTGGCTACTTGTGTGCTAAAGCCTGACACAGGAGGCAAAGAGCCCAGGCGTGTGTGTGTGTGAGAGAGAGAGATTGACGAAAGCTTCATGATTGCCGCTTCATGATGGCTCAACCGCACTTCCAAGTCCAACGGTGGGTTACCACTTTTTATGCAGCCGGGGATCACTTTTTTGACCCCATGAAAACCACCACTCACACAGCAGTCTTCCTCCAAGCCGAAAACTAGCACAACAGACTGGCCCTCTCTCTGGGGTGTTACTTTTCTATATGCAGGGATATGTTTTGCTTTGTTTTAGAACACGTGGCGCATTAAGATTGCATGGACTGTAGCCCACTTCATCAGATAGATGACCTATCATGTACCTGATGAAGTAGATTTTATAAGTTGGAGTGTCTTTCTCAAGACTTACTTACTGACAAGAAGAGCCTCAAGTTGAATTACGCTGGCCTTGCCCCATCACTCAGATACGACCCACTCAAAATGGAACTGAGCCCTCAGGCTGCAAGGGATTCTGTACCCCAAACTGGATGGGGAACATCCAGACTCGAGGAGATGCACCTTCTGGGAGAGCCGCTTACCTGCCGGATGTTCTGTCCCACATATTCAATCACCATCTCATCAGCAGCAATGGGCTCCATCGCAAAGAGTCCCCAGTCATGAATGTGGCTCTTACAGAATTTTAGCTTTTTCTTCCGGAACTACATGGCAGGGAGAGACAGGAGGCCACTGTGAGCCATTTGCTAGGAAGCTAACAAGACACAGAGGTGTGCTTGTGAACTGCTTTGGCGTCTGGACAAATGAGAAGTGGTCCAGAAATACAACAGTAGCAACGGAAAGAAGAGCATTCTGCAACATTTCAAGTGTACCTGCTAGGCTGCTTACTTTGGACTGCAGTGAACAATACCTGTGACCCTGCAGAATTGCTCCGCAAAGCCTGCCCTAGGCCAGCATTTACTCCTCCCTTGCCCCACTCTTATCACGTCACAACTTAGAAGGCAGAGAGTTCGCTGGCCAACAGAGGTTAGAGGAAGTGCACAGTGCCAGGGGGGCAAGCGGTACAACTTACCTTGAGTTGATTGAATTTGAGCAAGTCACTGTCACAACTGCCGGTGAAGGAGGACAGAAGTCTGCGTTGCTCGGATCTCCGCTCAGAGCCAGCACGAGTTGAAACGTGCACCTGGGCAGGGATGCTCATTCCCTGTGGACAAGAACGGGTCAGCTCAGGGTGGCTGGACTGGTAAAGAGGCTTGCTTCTGAGGGAGGGTCTGTGGGGGCTGCTGTATCTGGGCAACAGGGCACCTTTGTCTGACACATGCCAGTTCTTGTTGCAGATCTGAGCACACCTCCTGCACAAGAACACAGGTTGCTGCAAGGAGGCAGCCTGGCCCCAAGCTCTGTAGCAGAGCCCCTGCCTGGCCCACAGACTGTGCTGGTTCAACCCCTGGCATCTGCAAGCTGGAAGAGCAAAGGCAGAACCTGGAAATGCACAGCCAGTCACAGTATCTGGTACTGGGCTAAGTGAACCAATGGCATGGCTCTTTATAAGGTGGCATCATACGCTTGGACTGAAGCTGGGTCAGCTTTCCCCCACCCCGCCCACCCCGCAGCATATTGAGTGGCATTGGTCGCCAGTACAGGGAGCTCGCCACACGCACTTGTGTATCAGCTGGAGGTTCTTCCGCAAACGCACGGCTATTATTGAGGTATTTCAGCTTGTCTTTCTTGTCAATTTTGTAATAGCCTTCACTTCGGGCACAGCCGGTAACATGTTCCCGCATTCCATCATCCCGTTTCTTCTTCTTTGGGAGAGAAAAGTTGGTTGGTGGCTCTATGTTAAGGGGAAACCCAGCTATGCCTTACTCATGAAATGACTCTTTTTGCTCTAAGTCTAACAACAATAACAACAACAGTAACAACGACAGGATGACAATGACAGACTTCAAAGTTCTGACATAACTTAGGTCAGCGCATGTTAGCCCAAGTATTTGCATTTCATAGAACTCTGCCAGGTAGAATTCAGTTCGACTTAATGAAGAGTTTTGTGAAACTTGTAAGCTCGCATGCTCCTCTACCAAAGCACAGTTGGTTCAATTAAAAGCTACTTTTTATCTATTCTGAATCTCTGATCATTGGGGCAGCATCGCAATTGCCATAAAATGAACTGCCTAGAAGAGAAAACCTATCAGGAAGTTTGTTTTCACCTTCTCAAATGGAGATTGGAAAACTTATCCAATATACCAGGTAAGTTATCTGGTCCAAAATCTTCAATTTTAAAAAATTAGCAATACTTTCAGAATACAAGCTTCTGCAATTTCTGGGCACTCAATACAAGTACTGTGCCCAGACAAGGCTGTCTAAGAGCAATTTTTCTTTTCTTACTTTATTAGAGGAATGTTTGGGTTTTTTTGGACCAGAATGGTGGGGTGGCCATTGATGAATAAGCTGACAGATTTGTTGAATGCCAGGGAGAAATGGGCAATATTAAAAGCAGCTCAGTTTGCTCCTTTAATGCCTTCATTTAGAAAGGACTTTTTGAACAGACTATAACATGGCTACCGCTCTGGAAACAGAGGAGCTAAATTATGTTTCTTTTATTTTTCCACTTTGTTTGAATGCATTGTTCCTGACAGCGATCTGTTCTTGTTCACCATAATGTGTGCCTTTTTGTGCTATACTGTGAAGGTTTATTGCTTGCATTAAGTATGGTTCAGGCAGACTGCAGCAGTGCCCTTAAATCTAGCTGTTTGAAAACCGCTTGTTCCCAAGGAAGCCCATTCCAGTAACCCAGCAAGAAAAGGATATGAGGATGGTAGACCCACAGAGTATCGTTGAGCCAGTCCATGCCATTGTCCTGCTGCAACAAGTGATCATACGTGACACAAAGGAAGTGGATATCCTCTTCGTCGATCCCCCCATTCCAAATGTCATACAAAATGGTCATCTCCTCAAACTCGGAGCGGGGCCTAAACTGATACCGATGTGGGGAATACTCAGGGGAAGGAAATGTCGGGACATCATCAGGCCGCTTCTTCTGCCGCCTCCACTGTCGCTTGGATTTCAGGTAAGCTTCGTCCTCTTTGAACTCCTCGTTCCACTGGTTCTCCAGCTCTTTAAAGGGAAGCTTCTCTGCTAAAACTTCTGGGGGGACCTTGTTGTGGAAGCAGTCATTCCGGAAGTCCAAGGTCACTGCTTCTGGATCTTTCAGGGGATAAATGGCCTCGGGATGGCTACTCAGCAGCTCTTTGCTCACAGCACTTTCCGTCAAGGCTACCGGGATGGGAAGAAGAGGAGGCTCCATGGGCTTGCTCGAATAGGCATCCAGGAGAGGGCCCAGCGGGGAGGACCGCTTTGGCCGACCTGGCTTCCTTTTGATAGGCAGGACAGTAGAGGGAGGGGGAGGAGGGAGGGGAGGTGGGGAAACTACAGGGACATCTGGGAAGGGCAAGAGGGACCGTGCATCCTTCGTGCACTCCTCCAGAGACATCTTAGTGTCCATAAACAAGCAAGGTCGGACAGGAAGGGGTACCGGTTGGCCGGGGGGCAAGTCAATGTGTGGGTGGAAAGCTGGGATGGGGGGGCTGACAAGGGGAATGGGGGAGGGGGCTCTGTTCACACAAGACAACAAGGAAGCACCAAGAGGTTCTTTGAAGGCCTTCTCATCGGGCTCGTCGTCGGAGGGCTTCTTGCCAGACAACAGGCAAGGAATGGTAGGGTCTGGGAACGTTGGTGTGAAGGTGAAATCCCGCCCGGGAGTCCGAGGGATGCCACCACTGCTGATCCCCGGGGACTGGGATGGGTAGGAAAAGGGGCTTCCTGGGGCTTGAGGCGAACTTAGGGTCAGACTGCTCCCTGTGAGAGGGGCCTCGCTGCCCGGCGTGGCCGGCACAGTGTCCGTGCTCTGGGACTTGGAGAGGCTGTGGGAGCACTTGGCTAAAATGTCCCGCCCAGGAGTCCGAGGAAGCTCTTCCCCCAGCAAAGCTTTGCTCACAGTTAACTGATCGGGGATCTTGTCAGGAAGAAGCAACACTCCTGCTCTGCTGGGTCCCATGGAAGGAAGAGGAAGCGAACAAGGGAGCACAGCACTGATGGGAGACTCCGAGGGAGCCAGAACCTCCCTGCCAGGAGCCAGAGGGAGCCGGGCTTCTTCCTCAACAGCGGATCGTGGCCAACCTTTTGCCTGAGCTTCTGCACTGCCATCCTCAGCCTTGGTGAAAAAGGAGGGCTTGCTGGGCAATGATTCTCCAAAGGGGCCCCCTGGGGTTGGCGGTCGGAGGTTTCCTTCAGCCTGCACCTCCGACTTCAGGCCATCCAGCACCTCCGGCTCCAGCACAATATCTTGCTCACATACCTCCACTGCGAGAAAGGAAGGAGAAGGCAGAAGTAACACCATTTGATGGGCACGGATTTTGCTTTGGGTGTGCTGCACTATGGAGACAAGCTGACTCAGAGCTGAAGGGGCCCAAAGGGCCCCTGAGAAACAGTCATTGTCACCCACACAGAGAAGCCAAGACAAAAGCAGCGCTTCTTGCATGACACCGGGATGGCTGGAGCTTGAGGGGCACCTGCAGCGGACCGACTAAATGCCACGCTTGCAGAATCTACGATGAAAGCTCGCCCCAGAACTGGAGTCACTCCACTGAGCTCCAGAATTCTGTGCAGGTGAAGCAGCACTGCAGCCGGCCTGCTCCCAAGAGCTCTGTCTCAGAGTTAGAACAGGAAGGGCCATCTTAAGGTTGTCCAGATACACTGGCCAGAATTCCCATCAACCCTCCCCATTGGCCACACTGGCTACTGCTGATCGGAGTGGCAGGCAAAAATACATGGAGGGCCACCATTGCCACCTCTGGTTTAGAACGGTTGTGTAATTTACAGGTGTGATACACAAGCAAGAAGGGCAGGGGACGCACAATTGGGTGGCGTACAAATGTTTTAAATAAGTAATACATATACCAAAACTGTTGAAGTCAGGGCAGCTTGTTGCCTTCCCTAAAGGCTGGGTGTTCAAGTCAAAGCGCCCACCTACCTGGCAAGCACGCTGGAGAAAGCGGCAGCTTCTCCTCCTGAGCTCCCTCAATGACCACCAGCACGTCTGCGGCAAAGGACTCCTCAGGCACCTCCAGGCTTTCTTCTGCTAGCCTGGCTTCTTCCCTCGGCTCTTCTCCCTCTGGCATTAAAGGCTCAGGCAGTGCAAGCGCAGCCCCTTCCGTATGTTCGTCCACCAGGAACAGGTCCAGGATGGTTTCGCCATCGTCTGCAGGCTCTTGAGGGAGCGACTCAACAGTCACTTCAGTGGGTACGGCTTCTCTTTCTTGCTGGAGAGACACCTCTTTGTTATCTTCCACTTGTTCTTCATAGTCCTCCTCCTCGTCCTCTTCCTCCTCGTCCTCTTCCTCCTCGTCCTCTTCCTCCTCCTCCTCTTCATCATCAGAATCAGAACTTGTCCCAAATTCTGAGGATTCCTCACTTTCATCGGATGACTCGAGCTCTGCTCTGGAGGAGGCAGGGCTTCCTACATCTTCTACTAGGGAGACAAAGGGTTAATGTGGTGTCTTTAGGACTGACTTGGTTCAGGCCAGACTAGAGAAAGTAAAGGTGGGATTGCTATTTTATCTCTCTCAGTCAATTTTTTATTCCTCTTATGACACACCCACCCTACAGAAAGCTGCTCTAATGATCTTTACAAGGCCATCTATTCTAAAAGTCATTAGACCATCCCAAAGCAATGCATTATGTAAAGTACTTCGTTTTTACCCTAGAACAGATCAGTTTAATTGGAATACCATTTCTCAAAATTTTATATGACAGGAGGAACTGTTTTTCTTGATAGAACAAGTTTACCTTCCTCCGTAAGGATGAGGTTTAGACCTTTCCTCCCCAGTTTTCACTCTAGTTGCCTATGTCAATCTTCTCCTGTTTTACAATTTGTTTCTACAACTGCATATGCCATTCCCAAACTGCATGCTTGCCAAATTACACAGCCACAGTATGTGGTTGTGTTGCTTCGTTTTCAGCTCCTTTCCAACAAAACCTTTTAGCTCCAGCCTTGCCTCCCTCACTAGCTCAGCGTAACAGGCTTCCTACCATAAGTTATTTAATAAATGTCAAGATCTCCTTCCTAGCTGGTCATAGCCAATTTAGCTTTTCTTTGAAGAGGCATCAGGTTGCACTAACTCATGTCACATCTTACACTAAAAGATAGTTCATTTACTAGCTTTTTCAAACACGCCAACAGGACAGTATATCCAGTCAGCAAGAAAAAATGCATTGTCAGATGAAAACTTTGCACTCATGTAGCTGCTAACAAGGCTTCATACCTTCTTCAGAATCTTGATCCTCTTCCTTTTCACTTGTCACTGCTTCTGCCTCTTCATCATCTTCCTCCTCCTCCTCCTCTTCCTCCTCCTCCTCTTCCTCCTCCTCTTCCTCCTCCTCCTCTTCATTGATATCTTCCTCTTCTTCCTCTTCCTTGGGAGACAAGGCATTTTGAAAGTTCAGCAACTATCCATGTTTTTGTGGGGAGGTGAGAAAGCAAGTTGACTGAGTACTTATATTATGGCATGATAAAAGAATGCCCATGGACTCAGGGCACAATGACACCCCTTAGTGGAAAGGACCCGGCATTTCAAGTTGTGAAAAGAAATCATACACACCTTTTACATCTCAGAAGAGCAACATATATGAATGAATCTACAAAATTATAGGTAGAGACAGGTTGTGCATGTATCTACCTATAATTGTGCCTGTCTAAGCAAATTGATATAGGGGAATCCCAAATTAGATTGTGTGCAGGGAAGAAAGAAAACATGGATGGGACGATTACACAATGAGGAAGGCATATAGCCATGACTGTGGCACATTATTTGTAATAAAACCAGTTAAATACATTTCTATGTATTCTACAGCAGCCAAGATCAGACAACCATTTTAAGGTTTCCAGTGGTGGTTCCACATCTGTACAATTCCCTCTCCCACAAGGCAACCTGAGAGGTACATATGCCCCCACCCCCATCCTGCAGATGCTATTTAAATGGGTATTGGGCCTTTTTAATTCCACTTAGCTTCTTATTGATGGCTATATTAGGTTTTATGTTTTAGTAGCTACTGTTTTAACTCTTGATTAACTAGTTTTGTTCTGAAGTGCTTAATTTTCTTAATAGTATTTATATGCTGCCTTTTTCCATTCCAAGGAATTCAAGGCAGCTACACGATTCTCCTCCTCTCAATCTTGTCCTCCTCACAACAACCCTGTGAGGTAGGTTGGGCTGAGAGTCTGCAACTGCTCCAAAGTCACCCAGTTGGCTCCATGGCTGAGCAGGGACTGGAACTCAGCTCTTCTGACTCCAGGTCCTGCAGTCTTAGCCACTACACCAGACTGGCTCTCTTTATTACTTGGTATATAATTTATTAATTGTTGTAAAGTACCTTGTGACAGTCTACCCTAAATGACAGGACAGAAATACACCAAATAAAACCAACAAACAAAATTATGCTCTTTAACTCTTACTCTGTTTTTTATGGGAAAATGGGATGAAACAAGGAGAGGCTAATGTCCAAAGTCCTCTTTGAAGGTCATCTACCTTTGCAGTAGAATCATTTGTTTATGCAAAAATGATCTGACAGCGGTCCTCTCTACTCCTTCCCAGAGGACCTCCAGCTGCAGTAGAAAGGAAGGCTGCACCCTCCCCAGGAAGCAAAGCACCTGAAGACATCTTCCTGTGATAACACCCAAGTTACTATGAGCACCTTTTATGGAGTAAATATACTGTTGAGCATAGAGCTTTTTTGAAAAGAACAGAAATGGTGTGGTAGGTTCAACAGTGGAACCTATCTCCTAGTGACCTGTTCCTCCCTCCTGCAGCCCCCCTGAGTCTGCTCCAGAGGGATGGGGCGCCCCTGGAGCAGATTTCAGCAGGCGGGGGAGGGCAAGGGGATGCTAGGCCGTGAGCACAAAGGCTGCTCAGGCAAGGGTGGATGCAGCCAAGATGCTTAATCCCAGTTTATGACACTGCAGCTGAGAATACAGGTCCATGATGAAGCAGACCTTGTCAGACACCGATTTCATCACCCCTTCTTCGGCCTCCTGTTCTGCCTCCTTTTCTGAAGAAGATTCTTCCTCTTCTTTGCCCGAGTCCTCCTCCTCCCCTTCGCTGTCCAGTTTGAATGCCCTGGCTGGTCTCCTCCTGAGGCCAACAGTTTCTGCTTCCTTCTTGGAGATGTCTGAGGCTGCATCTGGCAGGTCTCGATCTCGTTCAGATTCTGGGGCGTGAAAATAAGTCATGAATGTGGGGAAAGAGTCAGAAACAACATCAGGAAGGGACAAGACTGGCTCCCCCCTTAAAAAAGTTATTGATGGGCCAAGTTGCTTGGTGATCGTCACTTTGAAAATGCAAAACAAAGTGGAAGAACTTAACTCTTTGGAATTATTTACATACACGTATGAGTAACATCAGCAAAATGACAGCTCTTACGATAGGCACTGCTTATGCGTGCAAAGTGAGGACTTGGGTATGTCCACAAGGCTGAAAAGTGTGGTGTCTGAATGAGCAACGGGGCCCCTTTCTGGGACATCTGTCTAGCAGAACGGGACCACCCAATTTAAGAGGTGTGAGGGAAGGACTTGCTCCCACTGCAGCAGCGTCCTCCAGTCCAGGCATCCAATTTTTTGGCATCCAATTACTTATGTAAGCAAGAGTAACAAGAACATTGGAGGTCAATGGTCTCAGCAGCATCTGGGTAGCATTAGCCATGCATGTGGCGTTCTATCAAGAATGAGAGGACAGAAGGCCTTACGATCCCGAGGAGCAGTGAAAAACGTGGGAAATGGCCGAAGGGCAAGGAAGAGAAAATACGCAGCTATTGTCGCTACACATTTTTACGTTTTGTTATTTGAAAACCTCCCAGAAAAGGCTACCTTTTGAGGAAGAATTTGAACATTACATCATGAAAAGAATGACAAGCAGGGATTGATGAGGAAAGTAGAACAGAATTATAAGAGGAAGTAAGAGTCATAAAGGGCTTTGAAGGACAAGAAGTTTCTGTAGGAGTCAGAAGCAGACAGGAAATCAGTGTGGGAATTTAAATTTAAATTGTGCCACATTCCAGACTAAATCAGCTGGTAAGAATAAAGGCTTCTCTATCTTTCTTCTACCAATATACATCCCTCAAAGGCTTAAGCACTGTTCTGCTTAGCCCCAAATTCGGGGTTTGGATCACTGGTCACATCAGAACATGACAGAATGTCGGGATTACCCATGACATGCACAGACACACACACTGCATTAGTATGCCTGCCTGTAGCTGTCCAGCACACGTGCTCCCTCTAGGCATTCCAGCCCTGTATATCTATCTGGGCGTGCATTTTATACCAGGTTTGGTTTTTTAAAAATCCAACATGTTGATCAAGGGGAAAAACATCTCTCCTTACACAAGCTGAACATCTGGGAACTTCTGCATTTTAAATCCTACATATTCCACACCATGAGTAGCACTTCAGTCTGGTAGGAACTCAAAACATATTACAAAACAATACATTAATTATAGGCATAACAGCATTTAGATAAGTTAATGGTTAGGAAAAGCCAGGATAAACAACTTAGTTTTACAAAACTTTCAAAAGCACATTAATTGCTGCTGGATGAGTGGTTGAAAGAAGTGGGCTTACCAAGTACCTCCAGTGCTCAGATGATTAACATGTGGTAGATCAAAACTAGAAATTACTATTTTTTCCTTCTCCAAGGAGTTACAAGATAGAAAAGTACTAAAAGAGACTTTTAATGAGGTTCTTTCATTTCTAAGTGGAATAGCATCAAACCAATTATAGCACTGAACTAGTTGAACATTGAACAACATTGAACAACTTGTTCTTACTCTGATACCAAAATGTTTGGATTGTAATTTTAGATATTACTTAATGGAACAGCACATAACTACAAAATTGAACATCAAGTTAGAAAGAGATCCTAAACTAATACTAAATTGTACAAATTAAGGCAAAAAGAAGCTAGAACTCTCAAACGGGCAATAGCGTGTCCAGATTAATAGAGTTCATCACTGCAAAGATCAGAGATAGTGTAGTTTGCAGCCCTTCCTAGGTTGGATCCAAATTAGTCATTATTAGAGTAGAACTGAAGCCAATAGGACTGAAACAGAGAGCAGCAGAAGAATGCTGCTGCAAGGCACTTTGTTGCAAGATAAAAGTAGGATATCAATCTAATAAACAAACAAAACCAAGTTGTTCATGATGAATTTAAGTTTTAGTGATTTCAAAAGATGTAATCTACTACATTTGGATCCAACCCGTTGCATTTGTGGAAAAAGTAATGGCTTGCTCACCTTCATCTTCATCATCCACTGAGGTAGAAGGCCGGATTCTTTTCTGGTCTCCAGCTGAGGCAGCTTCAGGTGGTTCCTTTCTTTTTACCTACAGAAAGGACAACATGACTCTATTGGAGGAGATGTATTCATTTTAGATTTATAGAAGCCAGTTCCCATAGCAGGCAACAACCTTAAAAAAACAAAGTCATTGGCTACTTAAAGAGTGCCGAAATAGTTTTGATTTGTTTATTTTCCTCCTTACTGTGTTTGTCAAAGCAGGAAGACGGACGGCTGGCAAGGGATGGGCATCTTACCAGGACTGACCATAGCACGAAGACATTGAGGAATTTAAAGACTATAGTTTGTTTACAATGAAGAGAAGGAACAGAAAGAGAGGAGGAGTTACGCTGTATGTTAAAGATGCATATCTCTGCACTAAGTACAGGAGGAGGAGCCTGGTAACCACGCTGAGCGCATCTGGCTTAAAATTTAAACGGAGCAAAGGACAAAAGGTAAATAGCAGTCAAAGTCTACTACTAGCCTCCTAGTCCAGGAGAAAAGTCAAGTGCCAAGGTTTCAAGGAGGCACGACATAATAGTAATGGGGGACTCCCATTTCCCTGATACCCTTTGAGAGGCCAGTTCTGCCAAACATGGCCCCTCTGTCAAATTCCTGATAACTCCATGTTGCTGATAACTTCTTCCTACAGAAAGTGGATGAAGGAATTAGAGAACTGGCTATCCTGGACTTGATTCTAATCTCAGGGATGGTGTGGAAAAAGTGGCTGTAACAACAACTCTGGAGGAAGCAACCATATCATACTTACCTGTTTGATTCTAAAGGATGCAAAAGCCAAATATAGCCAAACATGTACTCTGGATTTTAGGAAGCCCAATTTTAATAAAATCAGGACCCCTTAGCAAATAAGATCCCATGGCAAGTAGCTCCAATGGGAGAAAGCAGTCCAAGATGGGTGGAAATTTGAAAGGTCACACAGAGCTGGGCCAGGATCATTTCCTAATCATCCCAGAGTGCAAGATATGGAACAAGAGTTCCAAGTTATAGGAAGCCAGAGTCCAGCTGAACATCAGGAAAAACTCCTGATGGTTAGAGCAACACACAATGGAACCAACGGCCTCAGGAGACTGTGGGCTCTCCCACACTGCAGGCATTCAAAAGGCAGCTATTAGGGACATGGTGTCCTGCACTAAGCAAAGGGTTCAACCCAATGACCTTATTGGCCCATTCCATTTATAGTATTGTACGATTCTATGAACTTTTTTTCTGCATCTGTTAACTCTGAAAACACGAATGTTGTCAAGCTCAACAAATTTTAAATGCTTCTGTGTAACTTTCCAACCATTTCACATGTTTGCCTGCATTCATGTTGTCCATCTTTTGATTCCTCCACTGTCCTTTCAGAAGGGCAAGAAGCAACCATTCATTCTGCTACATTCTTATTCACTGAAGGAGATCAGTCAATAACTGCTTCAGTGGTATGAAGAGCCAATATTGGGTCATTCATTCGTTTTTTTTTATAGTTTGTAGAGCTAAAAGTAGTTTCTAGGGCAGCAGAGACATTAAAGTACTTGGTCAAAATTCTTGTATTTTGATAACATTCTTTAGAGTACTATAGGAATGCAGAGGATGCTGAAAGATGTGCTTACCTTGAAAGATGGTAACCGGATGGCCCCGCGTAACCCAATGCCCAAGCCAATGCCCTCATAACCCAGCCCTTCGCCTTTGTTCCAGTTCTCCAGAAGACAAGATGTGATGCGGTCCTTTGGTTTCGGCTTCTCATCATCTTTATTTTCTCCAGATTTTACTGGTGTAAGTGACGCCTGTTAAGAAGATTAAAGAGAAGAAATCAGACTGGTGCATACAGCTAGAACTGGATGTTTGGACAAAAGAACATAATCTGTTCCTAACAATCTCCATTTCTCCGAACAGGCATGTTGCCAGCATAAATTGTTCAAATGCATCAAGAGCAACTATTCATGCTTAATTTCCAGTGGACAAGCTCAATGCTAGACAGAAAAGTAAGCAACAATGCCTGTCAAAACAACCAGTGGAGTGTACTTATTTCTTTGCTTAGTGATCTTGATGGATGAACCACCCAGAGAGCTTCAGCTGTGAAGCAATATAAAAATGAAATTAATAATAATGATCTTCAAGATCTTCGCTGGACTAGCAGAAAGCAACCTTAATTTGGCAGGATGTTTTGGAGTTGCATAAAGCATGCTGTCTTTCTAATAAAGACCATAGCCTAATCTTTACAAGAAGTCTCAGCAGAGCTAGGACTTCAGTAAGACCAAACTTCAGTAAGACTTTACAAGAAGTCACCAGCCAAGAGCCACTTCTGATACTCAGCCTTAATGACAAACACAGACCTCTTCTAAACTACATCAAGATACATGGAAATTACACACCAAGAGCTATAAACAGAGCTGGGTCACACTGGGTCATGATGTTGGCTCCCCTAGTCCCACAACTGTGTCCAATCCAAAATGGGTGTCAATTAGAAAACTTTCCCAGCTCTATACTCTTTTAAAAACAGGAGATACCAGGGATCAAACCTCTGATCTTATACATTTACACTGGGGGATGAGTCCTACCTTGTCTCTATTTCTATGACCAGTGTGCTAAATCTAATAAATACATAAATAAATGAAGTTGTTACTGCAGCCATGTGCTTGGTAATCACATGACTGTTTTACACATCTCAAGCTCTGGATAGCTTGAAATAGTAACTTATGAAACTAACAGAGGAACAGAGCATAAGCTGGGGAAGCACCAAATAGAATACCTAGGAAGTACAAACAAGTAGGCGTCATAAGTGACACCTGCCAGTGTAAAGCCATTCCTGCTCAGAAGCCATTGAAGGGAAAAGTGCTCTTTTCCTACCTTTGCTAGACGTTCTTTCTTGTCCCACCAGTCATCAAAAGCCCTGAAGGCCACCACCTCCACCATCTTCCGGTTCAAATCTCTTTTCATTATTGCTTTGAGTTCCTTCACAATCACCAAAAGAACACCATCCACGGTGGCCTTGTGTGGATCTTCCTTCTTGGGCTCATAGCCCGGAGGGGGGACAGAGGGATCGAACTTGGGCAAGGGGGGCCATGGCTGCCCACGGTTGATAGCTGCTCCCATTGAGAAGTGCCGATAGGGAGGAAGGTTCACAAACTGCATCCGGGTGCCCATGAAAGGGGGGTACTGGTAGGTGTTCTGTCCTTGCATCAGGCGGCTCAACATCTGAGTTTGCATTTGAAAAGACATGGACATGCCACCCCACTGGTTACCCAGGACACTGATCATGTCCATCTGCATGACAGGAAACATCCCAGGATGGAAGGGAGGGAGCGGAGGCAAGATATGAGGGGGAGGGACTCCAGGAGGGGCAGGGAGGGGTGGAGGTGGGACAGTGACAGCTGGGTGAGTGGGTGGAGGTGGGGGAGGAAGTGGGGGAGGCATCGGAAAGACTGGCTGTGGCGGAGGCGGCGGAGGCAGAGGAGGAAAACCAGGTGGAGGCATGGGGATCGAGGGAGCCATCACAGCGGAATTGCCAATGGAGGTATTCACCACAATGGTTTTGGCACATTCTGAGCTCGGAGATTGGTTCATTTCGTCATCAGATATCTCCATGTCTTCTCCAGAGGACTGATGACACTGTGAGGAAGAGAGAAAGGTTCTGTTTAGACTAGATTATCATTCTCTTGGTGCACCTCCCCCAGTCAATTGGGAATCAAGAACAGAAACAGCATTCTTAAATTTGGGACAGTCAAAGGAAGGTTTTTGTACAAAAGCAGTTCAATATGAGGCATATACAAAGTTACTCAAGGCAGCAGGGCTGTTGAATAATGTTATAGGCACCTGGAAAAAGAAAGAACATTTGCTTGTTTATTTATTTATTTATTTGAAACATTTGTATGCCGTCCTTCACTATCGCGTCTCAGGACAGCTTACATGATTAAAAGCAAAACCATAAAACAATTGATTGAACAATACAATAAAATTATCAAAACCTGAAACAAATAAATTCAATCAAAACCAAATAAATAAAAGCGACTGTAAATGGTAAAAATACTAATATTTAAAATAGCGATTAAATAAAAAGGTTTTAACCTGGTGCCGAAAAATGCATAGGCTTGGCGCCAGGCAAACCTCACTGGGGAACATATTCCATAACCTGGAATCTGAAATACTTTACCGCAAAACTGTTCATGATGGCTACCTAATATTACACTCTTCACCAGTTTGGTGCCTTTCAGATGTGTTGGACTACAACTCCTAGAATCCCCACGCAGCATGTAATCTAACACATCTGGAATGCACCAGATTGGGGAAGGCTGTAATACTGAATATTTGGGCTCTCCTCTGTAGGCAAGAAGCCCCTCTATTCTGGCTTTAATCAAGTCTCTTCTGAAAAATTTTCTACCACCAGAGGGCACCTGTCTCCAAAGAGTGAAATTTACAGACTGCAGTATCTTTTTCTGTAAGCATGTGCCCAGGGATACTCAAGAATTTCATTTCAGCTTGGAAAAATCATACAAACACCCCTGAATGCAAACAGGAGTGCACATTCTCTGAAAATATTTGTCGATTCCTAAACTTGCATTGAAAAAAGCATATTGTTAAAATGCAAACTTCCACACTTCAGTCAACAGGGAGAAAGTGCGCTTTCAAAAGATGAAAGCATGCACATATTCCCTGCCGGAATGCACACTTTTGCCATTTAAATAAACCGAAGGAACCGATGGTGAATGAGGATGGGAAACAAGCTTGCACCTAGCTTCACTATGAATTCTGGGGCTCTTCGGGAAGCTTGAGCACCTGGGTGCTCCATTACAACCTGTGGCTAAATAAGAATAGCTTAATGATCAGCATGTATCACAAAAACCTTTCCTGGTGTAAATATTTTACATTTATAAATATGCAGTCAGAACAGAAAATGCCACTGTGTTCCCCCATAACCTTTAAGGCGTCATTATGTGTAAGAATAACCTAGTAGTTGTAGAATGCAGGAAAACATAAATCTGATAAAAGAAAGGCATCACAGAAAGCCAGCAACAGGATCTTTGTCTTGGACAGAGAAGGGCCAAATCTGTGCTCCTTCCATCCAAAGCTACAGGATGAATTTGAGATGCAGGCATTCTCTCTCAGACTTGGTTTTCCTCTTTACAGAAACAGAGAAAGCCATAACCTACCTTTATTGTGTTTTGCAGGCAAAACTATTGCTTTGACTGTCAAGCACAATAGTTTATTTATTTATAAGCATATTTCAGAGTTGCTTTCCAGATCAGACAAGGCTTCCAAAATGACTTACTATTCAAAGTTTTTAAAATATCACAAACAGCAAAATTAAGGTCAAGAGAAAAATCTGTCTTTTGAAGCTAGCTAATGCATGTAAAATCATGCAAAAGACATATGGAATAAAAACATTTTAACAACGTGCCTAAAAGTAAACAGAGAAGGGACCAGGGAAAGAATTCCACAAATGGAAGCGGGGAAGTATTGTTCCATGGTCCCACCAATCTAGGCTATTTTGGTACTAGGATCTCTAGAAAAGACTCTCCAATAGATCTTAATTACAAGGACAGTCATATGTGGTCCTTCAGATATCTTGGATCAGAAGCCAAAAAACAATCTGGCTTCCGCTTTTTGCACTAGCTGCAACTGAGCCCCTTCAGATGGGCCATCATCATCAGATTCCCAGCTTTCATAAAAAAAACAAAGCACAACCTTCTAGCCCTAGAAGAACCCAAGACATCAGGCAAAATCTGCAACCAATATTCTACCTATTCACTTTGTAAGAAACTGACCTCTTATGTTTTTAGCCAGCAAATGGAACCACAGCAATAACATGCCCATTATCAAAGTGTGTTGACACTTTTAGATGTGCTAAGGCTTTCTGGGGTAGTTTCCATGAGAGACAGTTGGAAATTGAGGTATTTCCTGCAGTAGAGTTTGGACAGAAGCATATCACCCACACCCAAAAAAAAGTGACAGCAAGGACAAAGTTTGTGATTTTCCTAACTCACGTCTCACTAATATTTTTTTCTGTGTTTATAAACATTAATAATACCTTTATGATTTTGCAGTTAAGATCCATCATTATAATACCAACAGTGCAGGAGGCAGGGCTATAGCAGAGCATGTGTGGGTTATACCAGTTCTGCAAAGCAGCCCAGCAGTTATTCCCATGTTGCAGAAGGGCATATCTTAGAGTTGTATATTGCAATTCCACGGGGTTGGTGTTTTTGGGAAATGCAGACAGACAGACAGACAGATATTGATTGTAGCTGCAGTGAAATCAATCAAAAGTCAGAATGAGTGGCTATTTCTCTTGATCAGAGCAATCCTATGGTCCCCTGGACAGTGTAATTCAGAGCATTCAGATTCTGAGCTCTAAGGCCATCGCTGGGGACCTGCACTCAGATCCCCCTTCCCTCAGCTTGGACCTGATGAGAAAGGATCTGTGCTGGCTGCTTCTCCAAGGTCATGAGAATGATTCTGTAGAACAAGTGAAGAGGGCACTCCAGGGAAGGAGGACACAGGCGCTGCCAGGATAAGATGCATCCTGGTGGCACTCCAGCCGCCTTCCCTCCCTGTCCGAAGGTTTGTTGTGGTTCATGATGCTTCTTGAATATGACATTCTTCTGCATGATTGCTGCATAGTACTACTCTGTGTAGGCTTCTAAATGGCACGGAGCGTGATACTAAGCAACAAAGGGCACACACAAGGAAAACGTACAGGTTTGTTGCACCAATGCACACTATGTGCAAGAATTACAAATTGTTATGAAGCTTTGCCCTCCTTCCCTGGAAAAACTGTCGGTGCCCGTGCAACCAAGACTACCACAGCTGTTTCTGTCCCCAAACCCAGCCTGAATATTGACTGGAAAGGATCCAAATAATCCACATCTTTCAAGCCTGGATTTGAGTCACTACTGCAGCATCTAGGACATTGCTCTGTAACTGACTGATCATCACGTAAAGTAGTACAATCCACTGACAGTTCTTTTCCTGAAAAGAAGTAGGGTCCTGCCCGAAGAAGCAACTAGCACCACCCCCACCCCCACCCCAGGTGACCAGTTTGGCTCTGGCAACTTCTATTAATCAGAGAGGACAAAGAAGCAACAAGCAAGCAAACCAGCAAGCTAACTTTTCCAAGCACCTTCTCTATATCCTCAGGTTGAAAAAGATGAAATTCATCCATCAAAACCAAACCAGTAGCTGCCTGAATCATCACCCCAAAGCCTTCCTTTCAACATACTGTCCAAGCCAGAATGGATACAAGTGGCTTTATCAAACAGTATTTTGCAAACTGACCGCAGCAGGGAATGGCGAACACCTTCTCACTCTAGGGGTCAGAACGTAGCAGGCCAGTTATAGTTCAAAACAGTATTGTTTGACAACACGGCTTTGACACTGCAGTGGCAAAGACCAACATTTTTGCTGCCATCACTATAACACAGCAGAAAAGACAAGCTCTTACTTTTGGATGTATTCATCCAGATTTCCTCCAGAAGTGCCCCAGTCATTTATCTAAGTGCTTAATTACTGTATGCCCTTCAGAAACCTAAGAATTGAGCTCTACACAATAGAAGATTGTGCTTTTTGGTGAGTGTGTCAACCACCCAAGTCATTTCTCCATTCCAAGGTTAAACCAAGGTTTTGACAGATGCAGAAGCTACAACACCCTCCCTCAAGCATTCAAGATTCTGCCTGAATCTATTAGTCTCTAGGAGCAGACCAACAGAGGTGACACACCAACTTGGAAATGGAAATGGTGCCATTTTTTCTCTTATATCCCCTTCTTTGTGCCAAAAGAATGGTCAAGGTAGCTAGCAGTAACAAATACAGATAAAAAAGGAAAACTCTACTCAGAACATTAAAACAAACAACAGTAAAAGCAGAGTAAAAACCCATTTGAAAAATAAAATAAAATAAAATAAAATAGTGGGTTGTGGATTAAGCTGAATTAAATTCACTTGCTTAGTTTAACCATTCCTTTACTTAGCATGCTGGACTCACTGACTCAGACGAGCTCTGTTCATGCAAACATTAGCAGAATATGGCTCACTCCCTCTGCCTTCCAGGTTGGAAAGGGGGCTCCTTCACCAGCGAAGCACAAAACCCTGGAGTGCCTTCATGGATACGAGACTCCCTGTAGGGAAGCCATGGAGCACATGCTCCTTGCACCATGTGGACACTGCCTATATATAGTCGTTACTGGTTTTTCGGCGCCAGGTAAAGACCTTTTTATTTAAACATCATTTTAATTGTTAAAATATATGATCTGGCCAGGGCAACTTCTTCTTCCTTCTCTTTTCTCCTCCTATATTCTTTATTTACTTATTTTATACTGTTAATTTTAATTTTATATTATTGTATCTCAGTGTATTTTTTGTATTTTTGTATTTAGTGGTAATTTATTATGTTCTATTGTATTTCAATGTATCTTATTGTGTTGTAAGCCGCCCCGAGGCTTCGGCAAGGGGCGGCATAGAAATGTAATAATAATCATAATATAACTAATCTGGAGAGCAGCCGTCATCTACCTTCTCAGACTTTAACACTTAACTGTAACCGAAGTCAACAACAGAAGCCTCACTTTTGATTTTGATCCTGTATCTTATTCTTTCTACTTATACTAGAGGTCTTTC